TCACAGAGCAGAGTTCTTTGGGATAGGACTGGGAAGGCCTGTCAATCACAGAGCAGAGTTCTTTGGGATAGGCCTGGGAAGGCAGAACCACTGTGTTCAGTCATTTATGAACCGACATGGGAGATAGGATGAGAAACAAACATCTTGACATCTTTGCTTAATAAAAGATTTCTAAGATTTTGCAGAAATACTTTTTCCTTAGACTCCCACCCCCTACGTCTGTGCTCTGCATGCAGTTATGTGGACCTCCAAAATAGGGCTACTCGGAAAACCTGACATGGTCAATACAGGAAAAGAGAAATCATCCTCCAAGGATCCTCTACGGTGACCACTTATAAATTCTTTATCAAACAAGCAGACTCCTTCCACAACCCTTCTAGCTATAATATAGGAGCAGCGATCAGAACAGAGTGGTAGAGCAGTGAAGGCAGAGCCTATGTAATGCAGCAATATGAAGAACACACCAAAGAGAAGTTATGTCTTAGCCATTACATTTTCAAACCAATGTCAAAATTAAAACTAGGACCACATGTGTAGATTTGGACTCTAAGGTAACTAAAGTTCCATTTTTTTAACCATTTCTACTGGTATAAATTAATAAATGCCTAACATGCAAACATAGTTTCAAAAGTAAACAACTTCTTATTATTAACTAATATGATGATTCACAAAGTATTGCTTAACTACACAGATTAAAAGAGCATAAAATAAGACTTAAAATAATATTTAGCTATTATTACATAGGAAATGCTACCTATATAATAATAACACAAAAAGATAATCAACAGCTTTTTCCTTTTTTTTTTTTTTTTTAATGGGAGAGAGCACGAATGCAGTCAGTCTCCCACTACCACAAATTATGCAGTCGAATTTCCCACATTTGGGGAAATCGCAGGGGTCAGTACATCCGCAGGGGTCAGTGCAATGGATAAGCCTCGCCCTGAGAAAACCACCTTCGTGATCATGGTATCTCCCCTGCCAGGTAAGTATAATCAAGAGCTTTTTCTAAGCTATCAATAAAATATCTACAAATAGGATATGTGCTCCGATAATGCTTTAAACAATACTTTTAATTTAAAATTTTTAAAGCTTTGGGGACTATTTTTTAACAATGGAGGAAAATGGATCCTAAATTGAATGAATAAAATATACTTCTTATTCTACTTTTAATACTGTGATCTCATACTTTTCATTAATTTGTTGAAATATTTTCAAACAGGATACCTCTATTTTAAGTAAATGGCCAAAATAGAGTGAAGAAGTCTGCGTTGTTTCTGGGTGACAAAGGAGTGGTGCTGTGAGGTACATGTTGCGCTGCTAACCGCAAAGGTGACATTTCAAAACCAGCAGCCACTTCAAGTGAGAAAGGTGAGAATTTCTACTCGCATAGATATTTACTCTTGGAAACCTACAGAGGCAGCTTTACCCTGTCTTATAGTCTCTGTAAGTTGGAATCAATTCAAGTATAGTAAATTTTAGGTTTTTATGCTTTAAGAAAAAACAATCCTAAATAAATCAAAATTGGGTGACCTAGGAAACTCAAATAAAAATTCCATTGTAATGTTCCACTTGTTCCTTGAGCTACACATTAAAATTATATTATTTTTAGAGTGCATATTTGTTCTGGAAGTAAGTTTAACAACAATTCTTAACAATTTATTAGCCACTTGCTTATATACAAATATCTTTAATTATTTTAGTAAGCTACTTACTGAGAGCCAGGCAAGGGATTCCATGATTCGATGTTCGCATCTTTCCAAATGTTTTATCATTTCTCTTGTCAGTTTAGTTTCTGCTTTGATAAAACTTTCAATCACTTTGTAGAAATCAAACGCTTTTAAGTTAAGTACACTCAGAATCCACGGAAAGGACAAATTTGTTCCAGGATCAAGACGCGACGTGTTTCCTAAAAATGAAAGAAGAAATGTAACTTAAACTATGTACAGTATTTGTAAGTTGAAGGGTTATGTTAAAGACTTAAACAGTTGAAAGGCTAAAAATGTTTTTTTTTTAATTTAGAGCATAATTTTTTATTTTATGATCCACTGACTTCTAGAAAGTCAAATTTCAAATTTGGGGTGTATGTGTACATTTCCCCCTAAAAAGATGGCTTATCACTATCATACATTTTTCAGAGATTTAAATACCCTAAAACCTATTTTCATAGTTCTTAACAGGATTAATATTGTACCAGTAAGGTATTAGCATATGCATATTAACTCATTTATTAAATCTTTGATGATGAATTACCTAAACTTGTACTAATTTGATTAGCTAGAAAACATTTCTTTTAAATGTGTACTTCATAATGAAGAGTCATAGTTTCGATATTTGTTTACCAATTTCAGTTCCTCTTTTACTAATTCTGTCTTTATATCCTTTGGTAGCTATTATTCATTTGTGTTAATAAAAATATTACATGTTTAAAGATATATTAAAAAAAACCCTAAGACCGCCATTGACCTTTGTTCTGGGTATCAAGTAAATTCTAGCTCTCACCTTGGGCGGCCTCATGACCACACAGTCTGCAACAAGTCTGTTCAGTACTCCCTTATAACTTTACAATTTTGTAAATACTGAAAGGACTTTAATTAGGTACTTTCCCTGTATTCAGTATGCCCAAAACAGAGCCTAGTAAAATACTATCCCTAATATGATCTCAAATAATTCAGACAATAACCCATTTAAAGCCTCATGACCACTTACAGTCTTTAGTATATATAATATATACACTTTTTTCCTCCTTAACTCAGCCCCCAAATATATACCACACATTAAGACGCCTCTTACTTTACAAGTTACAGTCTCTGAAACTCATAACGGCAGTTCTACCCTGTCCTGTAGGGTCGCTATGATTCAGCATCATCACAGTGGCAGTGAATTTAAGAAAATGTTTATCTACTAAAATTTAACTTACTGCTATAAGTAGCCATCACAATCTCAAGTGCGCACGCCAACAAAGACTTATGAAAGATGTTGTCATTCAGGAGTTTGCTAAAAACAAAAAAGGGGGGGGGAGGGGATGGAAAAGGATTTCAAATCATTTGTTTTTATAAAAAAGAAGAATTAAAAAACTAAACTAAACTAAAAAGCTTACCTGAAGTTTTGAATGGACAATCGTTCTTCTTCCTAAAACAGGAGGGGGAGAAGTTTAACTGAAATCTTATTTGTGCTGGCACTGAATTTTTTTTCTATTATGTTCTTTTTTAACTTACTGATTTAAGCATGGATTCCATTACTCGATAATACAGTCGGACTCCAAGTCTGTATCGCTACAAGAAAAAAAAAAAAAACACAGCTTAAGCTTTTAATATTTTAGAAAACCACAATTACCAGATTTCAAAAAGTCTTTTCTTGAAACTCATTTCAGGCCCTTCTTAGAAATGAGGTTAACCGGAGATTACATATGCTACCTTATCTAAAGTATGTACTGAAGTATAAAGTGGCATTTAACATTCCCAGTATATCAAGAGGGCAGGTTTAGCACCTGGTTTTCCTTTACTGTATCATTCTATATCATTCAACAGATATATATTCTTGGAATAATCTGTACACATTAAATACCTTATATAATTATAAGCAAGCATACTGAATGTCTCTTAACTTAGGACATGTTTTTTCAAGATAGATAGCTACCAAGTTTCCTTCCATAAGTGAAAGTGGAATAAGCAAAATTCAGACTAAATTGACCTATAAGAAAAAAAGTTTTAAGCAAATAACTAATTCATCACCATCAATTAAAAGAATAACCATATTTTAGAGGTATCTACAAATAAGTACACAGGTAAATCCAAAAGTATCGCTATAAAATTATAGAAACTTTTAATAATCAAAAATATCAAACTGTGAAACTATAGTTTCTTTACATCCTCTATCTAGGCCTATACACTTCTGAAGGCAGTGTGTTTCCATCTTCCTAACCTTTCCCCCAAGGAATTCCACAATATGGCACCTCTGTCATCCTCAAGGGATCCAAATTGTTTTTTCTCCCCCAATTTCTTTGAGTTTGGAGAACAAAAGAAAGTCCCAAAGGGCAAGCTTAGGGCTATACAGGGAACGGAATAAGATTACCCAATGAAATTTCAGAGGGCAGCCCGTGCTAACCTTGAAAAAACGAGGCAATGCATTGCCATGATGGAAAAAAGCCACTGGCCTACCTTCCCTGGCCTTTATTCTCACCAGGACAGTTTTCAATTTTCGTAAAATTTCTGAGTAAGTCCCTATGATCATCTTGTGTTTGCCAAAAAAAATCTATCAAGATTACCTCCTGAAGAATCAGAAAGGAAAAAAACAACAAACAAAACCAGTCACCTTGAACTGCTGAGCTGACCATCTGCCTTGATGTTACCATCCCAGCAGATCATCTCGCAAGCCATTGTTTTGATTGTACCTTATTACATGTGAGTTAGTTCATTGTGCCAGCCTGGCCGATAATCACATGTGGGGCTAATTGAAAGGCGGAGGGATAAATGGGTGGTGAGCCTCGCCTTTCTAGTTCTCAGGTCTCTTGCTTTGTGATGGTCACACCAGGGTGCAGCTGCCTTAGCAGTTCCCTGCTTCAGCTTGCAAGACTGACTTCCTACAAGACATCCCCAAGGAGATGCCACATGGACCTATCCCAATGCAGCCCTGGGTGCTGGAGCAGCCGTGTGGAGACCCCTGCTAGTGCTGAGATGCTTATTCATTCACTGACTCAGCTTTCCGCCTGCAGTCAGCATCATTGCCTCTGTTTTGTGAGGTGGAGGACTTTGTGGACTGGTGTTGGGTTAATGGGTTAATGTTGGACTTGTGGCCTTGGGCAGCATTGGGTTGGGATGTTTTCGTGATGCACCTTTTCTTTACATAAAACTCTCTCTTATACATGAGTTGCTGTGGATTTGTTTCTCCAAAGTACCCAGACTAATACACCATGGTTACAATTCACCCCATACAATCGCCTTCACTAGCGTACATCTTGCAATGCGGATTGAAAAGCTGTTCCTGGCGCTGGTTGATCTCCGTACAATGCTTTGGGCACTCATCCAGCTAACAGCTTGCTGAGGCCAAGAAATTCTCTTAAAATCGAAAATGCCAAACTGCGTGAGCTCCCTACCGCAGCAGCTATTGCACGTCAATGGTAATGATTTCGCCGTGGTTTCTTTCACTAGTTTGTGGACACCAGCCAAATTTTCCAGTCATCGGAGATGGTTTTCCGTCTTTCATCCTTTTGCTCATCTTCCCATCCTTCCTTAAAATGCCTGATCCATCTAAAAAATCACTGTTTTACGTGGCACAGCATTCTCATAAACTTTCAGCACAGACTCAATGATTTAGGAAGAAACCCACTTGAGTTTTGTTAAAAATGGGATTTTAGCCCTGATCTCAAAATCACTTTTTTTCTTGATGGATTATAAGTTTGTTTCTTTCTGTTTACCCCAAAATCATTTGGGGGGAGGTTGCTGATACAGACTTAACATCATTTCATAGTTCTCTATCAAGCAGTGTTGTACAATGACTACTATCACTATCAGTTTCAAAATATTCTCTTCCTTCTGAAAGTCCTTGATATCAGCTCTCTTTTCCCTCTGCGCCCTCACCCGAACCCCCCAAGAACTCATATTCCACTTGCTCTGTCTATAGGTTCATCACCCCTGGAGTTCATATACAGAAAAACTCAAGATTGTTACCCCCAATAGGAAAATACATCTGAGATCAACCCCCGTATGCAAGAACCCAGATCAGCTCCAACGCGCATCAGAGGGGGAATCTACTAACAAGGTTTTGAACATTTGAGTTGGGTTCATGCCTTTGCTCTTCTAGCGTCATCTCTCCCACGCACGGTGTAATTTCCGCTTTCCTCCTATCCCTTTATTATGGATAGAGGGAGATCACTGGAGACTTATTTCCTATGTAGTTCCCACCAATGTGTCTGGAGCTTCCACTGTTATCCATAGCCATCTGCAAACTGGATTTTCACAATTAAGGCTCTCAGACTAATCCCTCCTTGGACTTCGGATTATGAGATTTACAATTCTTCAGTGACTGGTGATGGTGTCTTTCATGCATGCGGGCTTAGTTGACATCTCACTTAGATGACTGCTGGTTTCCAGACAAACTTTTAAGACCCCAGATGCTATTTTATCTGGTAGCCAGGCACCACCTAATTCCTTCACATTTTGCTATAGCACCCATATCTCCTGTGTTCCTTTCCTGAGGGAGCGAATGGAGCAGGGACATGATGTAAAGACTAACTGTTGTTCAATTGGAGCTAGGATTTAGTGGGAGCCCAAAACCCATTCCTAGATCTGTGTTTTTTAATCTGCCTTTGGCTCCCCTTAGAGACCTCCTGGTTAATTTATGGTAGAGAGCCTTATCAATCATCTCTTTAGAGCAATAAATATATTAATATTGTCGTTGATTGGCCCCTGGTACTAATTTTTTAAAACAATATTGTGAAAGAATTATTGGGTCATTGTAGAGGAATATAGAGGGGAATATTGGGCCAATTCCATATCGCAGTGCCTGAATTATTCACTTGCACAGAATAAATCCTTTAGTAGCTGGGCAGTATTTACACCAACAATGGGAGTTAGTTGCCAGGGACTGACCTCCAAATGGGGGGAAATATGACTAAAAGTACTTTTAAGGTCCCAAAGGGGGGAGATCCCTGGAAATATGCACTGAATAAGCCACACTGACCCGTCACTGGGCAGATTCTGGGGACCCAGGCCAAGCGGCATAGAACACTTGAATCCAGAATCTCCACGGTGCACAACCCACTCCAAAGGCGGCTACAGAGAACGCCGAGGGGCAAACACTAGCTAGGGGAAATGGACTCTGCCTCAAACACACTTGTAACCTGAGGAGTTAAGACCGACAACTCACGGCGCTCGAAGAAGCAGAAGACAGCTACACCGAGAGTATTGAACTGTCAGTAGGCAGACGATCACTGACTTCCTACATCAAGATTTAATATGCTGCATTAAAATATATATTATTCTGGCAACCAGGTGACTGACATAGCCAGTGAATATTATTGTAAAATTATTTTTTGATGGCACACACACAAAATATATGCTTTTTCAAGGACCCTAGGAAAAGTAAGACAAATATATTTCTGAGAGGATTTGTCTGTAACTATCCACTGATGTCAGAAACATGTTTAAACATATTTGGGTGGGGTGGTGGTGGTGGGAATAAACCTACGCATATGTGAACTAGAACCCTCTTATTAGCACTTTTTGACTTACCTTTGCATACATGCACAAAAACCTGTACTGAATCACTGCAAATGGCAAATTATGGAAATAGATTTCATAGAAATCCCAAAGAACTATTACATATAATTGGTTAAAACACTGATATCAATATATACTCTCTCTATGTGTATAGCAAATTACAGTTTTCATATATACCACATAACAAAGCAGAGCATACCCAAGCTTACATCTCTGCAGGAATCCTAGTGGCGTAATGGCTACTTGCTGGGCTGCTAACTACAAAAACCTCACATCTCTGGAAAAGTAAGCATCGTGTCCAAGGTCAAACCGCTCATACGTAGAGAACCAGATATAAAGCTAGGCTTGTGACTTTACAGATATTCTTTTACTCATTGTACTTGTTTTTAATTTTTTGAAGTAAAAATTTCACTTAAATTTCTGAGAAAATCCTATGCCTCTATTCCTAGAAGCATATGTAGACAAAAGTCTTCACAGCTATAGAATGAAAAGGCGTATACACTAAAATTTCAACAATATAAACGATTAAATGAGGTATATATTTTTCCCTTACTTGTAGCTTCTAAAATTCTATAATTGACATGGCTACTTGGTTTTATTTTTATAACAGAGTAGAGAACGGTTTTGCATAAAGTGTCCTATTAGTCGCAACATACAGGAGCAGCAGGATATAGCAACTGCTTTGTGTTTATACTAATTGAACAGATACTACCTTTAAATTCATTTACCATATAGTGATATTAATTAAAATGAATGAAGTTACCTGTGAGCCAATTTCAACACACCCCTGTCCCACAGCCGTAGCAAATTTCTCTTTAAAGATGTAGCTAATATCCTTCACTCTCTTCAGGATACTTTCCTTTGGATTCACTGTGCAGTTCTTTATTTAAGAGGAATAAATAGAAACCAACATTGAAAATATTGTTGAACCAGAATTTACATTCCATTTACTGTTTTTAACATTTACTGTTGCGTAATGCATGACTTTTAGGTTTCAAATGTTGATACAAATTTGAAAATATTTCTACAATGTAAATAATAGAATTTCATTTTCGAGTTTTAGTGACTAAAAAACATGAGAGCACAACTAAAAAAGTCTATCTAAATTATCTGAGAGAGTCTTGGTGCTACAGTGATTAAAAGCTTGGTTTCTAACCAAAAAGTTAGTGGTTCAAAGCAATCAGCTTCCATAAAAGTTACAACACTCCTAAAGGTCAACAAACAAACCCGACACTATTTATAAGCCTTTTTATTTTTTGTCTTTGAGGTCTTTTTTCTTGTTGTTGCTTTGGAGGGTGTTTTTGTTTGTTTTCTTTTGTTGTTTGGTTTTTGTGCTTATAATTGTCTCTGTGTGTCTACCTAGATAAGATAGGTGGGATAAACAATCCAGAGGAGAAAACAACAGACAGAGGGTTCGAGGGGGACACGGGAGAGGGGGAGGCAGAGGAAAAGAAGGGGAGGTGTCAACAAACCCAGGGACAAGGGAAAAACAAGTGATCTAAAATCAATGTCTTGGAGAGTGTAGGATGCCTGGATGGGGCTTGATCAAGGGCAATGAAACTAAGAGGAATTACTAAAACCCAAATGAAGGCTGAACATAATAGTGGGACAAGAGGAAAGTAAAAGGAAATGGAGAAAAGAACTAGGAGGCAAATAGGCATTTATAGAGGTCTAAATACAGGCATATACATATGCAAATATATTTTTATATAATGATAGAGAAATAAATCTATGTACATAGATTTACATGTTAACTATTAAGGTAGCAGATGGACATTGGGCCTCTACTCAAGTACTCCCTCAACGCAAGAACACTTTCTTCTAATAACCTGGCATTCCGTGATGCTCACCTGCATTAAATTTCATTGAAAGTCATTACATTTCTATAATTTCTTCAGTCATAAACTAAATCACATTTTATATTTTTATAGTTCTAAAGAGTAACAAAGACTGTCAGAAATGTATACTAATAGATAAGTGTTATATTTCTCATTGGTTAAGCAACTGTTTTTGTTCTGGAGGAAGGAAATCTCCAGGATGAGTGTGGGAAAATGTCCTCAGCCAAGACTCCATCAGACGGAGCTAACCTCATGTAAGAAGTACTCAGAAGTCTAATTCAGTAAGTTCCCATTTCCTAGAGACAGGGCATATGAAAGATATGGATAAAAGACGTAAAAGATAACTGCAATGGATTGAAACACATGCCACCCAATGAAGGATGTCCTCAAGCAAACCGGGACAGTTGCTATCAGTCAGGTATTCCTTCAGTCATTGTCAGTTCGTCTACGCCTCTCAGAGGGCAAACGTACGGAGGCTGTGAGGCTACTGTATGTGCAGCTTACACAAACGGCCCCTAAATGACGAACAGCGTCAGTTGATGTTCGACCGAAGACAGTTATTTTTTACGTTACTGAAGAAAAAGAGGAAAAGGTTGTGGCAGATAAACAGATTCCTAATCCAGAGCCTTCCTAAAGAGTTTTCAAGGGTAGACGTGATAAGACTCCATTTTATTTTACAGAATCTAGAATCTAGATGGACACTAAACGGTCTGATGCCATTCTACTGTTAAAAAATTATTTTTAATGCCATGGCCTTTCAAAGGGATGATATTTTCGGCATAACTGAAGTTCCCGTTTAATTCCTTCCTCTCATTTAGCACGCGTTTCCATGACGCTTGCCTGGTAACAACAGTTCGTTATGTAACCTTTACTAGCTGAGCACAACTCATTGTGTGTTATAAAATTACAACAAAAGAGTTGACCCCTCTTAATATAGCATAAGTGAAGAAATGATTTTCAATCAGCCAACAGCACCACTGGAATGGAAAGTAACTCTGCTTTGCTATATGCATTGCACTCACAGATGTTAGAGTCTCTTCTGATACGCTTCTAAATTGGCCGCTACATTATACTTAATATGGTGCTTGCACCCTGTTTCTACTGTTAAAACCACGATTTTAATGGAACTGTCCCTGCCAGGAACTAAACTTTAAAAAACAACACTGCGGTCGCTTGCGACTCCAAGGCGACTGAACTAGGGCTGTAAAGTGCACTTCTGTCTCCAGCTTTCCTGGTGGCGTGGTTGGGTAGGCGATAGACTAGGAAGCTCAAGACTGAGAGTTCGAAACGAATAATGGATCTGTCGAGATCGGAAGTCCTAAATTTGGGATCCCAATTTACCGATAGTATTGAGTTTCTTAGTACCCTTTTTTAAGAGCCGCTATGTAATAGAACTTGTTACATCCCTTGACTTTTACCCCAGTGAGATTTTTCTCGCGGGCTGGACGTGTGAGTAACGCAGTCCATGCAGAGGTCCTTCAAGAACGACGCTGTGGAGGTCGCTAGCTGCCGTCGGCGCGTGTGCCCGGGAAGACGGGCCGCATCGCGACGTGCAGCTGTCCACCTCACGGCCCAAGACCCTTACCTCTGGGCCTTTGGTTCGTGGTGTCGCGCGTTTAGGGAATCAAAGAAGCCAGAGGACTTCACGCGACATCCAGGAACCGTTTCTGCATTCTAACCTCAGTCGTTCGGCTTTTGGAACTCAGTGCATGTCTAGAAGCAATTTCCCGGTATTTTATATATTTCTTAAGGTTTCGCATGCAAGGGGAGAATTTGCTCTTTTCCACTACGTTTGCTCCCATTTATGAGCATTTCTACCTTGCACACCGTGATTCCATGCCCGATGTGCCGAGACGGGGACTACCATGGCCGTACGGTGACCGCTAAGGGCGGGCAGGGGGCGGCTGGGGGGCGAGGCCGAGCGGCGAAGGGCTCCCCTGACAGTGGTCAGGGGCGGGCAGGGGGCGGTAAGGGGGCGGAGACGGGCAGCGGACGGGCAGCGGGGGGGACGGCGGCGGTGACGCCACTGTCGCCCGCTCGCCCTGCCCCGCCCCACCCGGCGTGCACGTGCCCGGCCGACCCGGGCTGCGCGCTTGGACAGCGCCGGGGCTTCCGCGTCCGGCGCGCAGTGGACACCTGCACGAGCCGCCTCCCTCCCACCGGGTCAGTCTGGCTCAGGCGGTACATAGGGCGGCACACCTGTCCCTGCGGACTTCCGGGGCCGAGGCTCAACGGGAGTGGAAGGCGCCATCATGCTCCGCTGGGAGGCTGGTGGTTTCCAACCGCTAACCTTGTGATTGGCAGCCCAGCGTGTAAGCGTACGTGTGTAGTTAATAAAGGAGACCACTACACATGACAAAGACTGGATCTTTGATGTGTTTTTCTTTTGTGGGGGTTTGCGACCGCTTTTAAACGTTATTTTCCTTTAGAGATAAATGGATTTCTAAGTGAAATAAGATGTTCAATCGATTTCATTAGAAAGTGAAGGTAGAGGGGTGTATAGATAAAAGTTCACGATCATTGAAGCTAGGTACTGTACATGTCCTGGGCCTTCATTACATGTTCACCCTCCTTTTACATATATTCGACATTTTCCACACTAGAAAGGGTTGCTTTTTGGTTTTAGAAGAGACAGCAAACCGATGGGAGGAAATACAGCAGCGCAGTCCTGTTGGGTTTCTCAGTGTGTGTATCTTTATAAAAACACATCCTTTTCCTTTGGAGTGACTAGTGGCTTTGAACCACAAACCTTCCTGTTAGTACCTTAACCACTCTATCACCAGGGCTTCCGTTTAAAGTATTAATGGCTGATAATATTCCAAATTGTCACATGAATTAATCATTAAAAAAATGCAAAACTGCATAAACAAAATAACATCAACACCTAACTCAACTTACACTAAATATATTACACTAAAAGATTTTTTAAAATAACCAGGGTGAATGATAGATTAACTATAAAGAAATAACAGATAATAAAAGATTTCTTATTAGCAACAGGATGAGTCAATAAATTCTTAAGCTTCTAAGAGGAAGTAAATGGCAACCTAGAACTGAACATTCACCTTAACTATCTTACAAAATTAAGGTCAAGACATTTTTAGACTAAAAACAAAAAGCAAAAACAAAACAAAGCAAAACATTGTAAATGTCACTCCAAACAAAAAATATATTTGAAAGAAAATTCCTTAAAGTTGTAAGAAAGAATGGTAAGCAAGGTAAATGGTAACATGAGTAAATCTAAAAATAACACTGACTAAATAAAATTAATAGTAACTAATTTGGGGGTTTACAAGAGCAAGAAATTAATAGGCAATAACATGTTGGAGTGAAGACAGGTAATTAAATATTAAATATGGTAACTTTTAATTTCAAATTCCTTCACCAAAATATCATAATTAATATTTTATTTATGGCTTACATTAAAATAGGAAATCAAAATTTCTGAGGGTTGATCACTTGCTGAATTTAAGACCATCACTAATTGTTGAATAGTATTCATAACAGCCCTAAAGAAAAAAACAAAAATAAGTGTTAAACAATGAAAGAAAAAAATGAAGTACATATATTCCTCAATTTCAGCATGTTTTTATACTTTCCTGTTTATCTTTGTTTGTGTAAGACTTTGAAAAATTTCTAATGTAAGACTTTGAAAAATTTCTAATGTTTAGATAGCTACATTTGAATTCAGTCTTTAAGATGAGTTCACCATCTTTTAGCTCATGACTATAGAACTGGCATATTTAATTCTAATGAAACTATAAAACATTAATTGGTCAAACTAATGAAAATCTAAGTGAAAAACACATCAAATGGTATCAAAATGTACTACAAAAATACCTTATAATTAACAACTTTCAAATAAAGGCAAGCTGTTTAGTAAGTCAATTAAAGAATCAAATTACTTTTGGTGATAGGCAAGTATTTGTGTCAGCTTGGCTGGCCCAGAATTCTGTGGTTTCCCAGTTAAAATCTAGTAATTCCCCATGACACGATCTCCTCCAGTGTGGCCTGTTTCCAATACAAGCGGATGCCATGGGGAAAAAACTCGCTTGCTTGCTGCAGGGTCTGGATCTTGCAGCCGGCTCAGAGACCTCTGGTTCTTTGGGCTGGAGATAGCAGCTTACAGATCCTGGGAGTCGTCAGAGCCTGCGATCTTACCCGGTGACTTTGGATTTACTCACCTCTGTATCCCGAAGTCTGTTTGCTGATCTGTTGATCTTGGGTTTAACTAGGCTCTGCAGTTATGCAAGCTAGAAGCCTCCAACCTGCTATGACACAGACTTGGAACTTACCCACCTCTTTAACTGTGCAAACCATTTTCTTGATCTCATTTCCCGTTCCCAGAAAGATGTACAGCATTGCAAATCCCAAAGGCAGTTCTATCTATTCTATAGGGTGCTCTGAGTGGATAGCAATGAGTTTTAAGTTTTCATATCTTTCTATATATGTCAGCTTTACTGGTTTTAATAATGTGGAGAAGCTAAGCCTAAGTAACCCTAAGACATTTAGTACCAGGAGTGAGAAACAAAATCCTAAGATGAATTTCCTACATTGGCTCCCAAGTCTGATTAGCTTTAAAAGCACTGAACAATACTGTCACCACCATCAGTATTGATTCCTCTGCCTCCATTAAAGGGTTTTGCTAATTGTGTCATGAGGTAGCAACATTAATACCCAAAATATCATCAGTAGATCAAGTGTAGCCCAGGTCATCATGTTTGATCCTTCAGCTTTGACAGGATGTGAAGTGAAAGGAAACTGGTTAGTTGGGCCTACTTATAATAAAGTGGTGAAAAGAGATGAGCTCAAGATTTTAGAGGTAAGGCTCAGGTACCAAATAAAAGACCTCAACGTTTCCACATATGTCCTGAAAGAAAGGCTTATTTCTTGTAGTAACAACTGATAGTGCTGAAAACCAAACCCAGAGTCTTATCATGAGTGGCTGAATCTTAAAAATAATTTTATTGGCATATACTTCACATATCATACAATTTAATTTTTCAATCATATCATGATTTGTGCAATTACCACAATTTCAGAACATTTTCTTCTCATACTCATTGTTGTTAGCGCTCCACTTCCATCATCCTCCCGACACGCCCCTATCCAGTTACTGCCTCTATAGATCTACTTTTTTTGTGCTTCATATAAAGAAAATCATACAAGATACAAAATCATACAAAACAAACAGAACAAAATGACTAGATCTAACATAGAAATGACAAACACTTTAAAGAGAAAGCAGAAACTATCATTAACTGAAAACTTCAAAATATGTCAAAAGGGCAATTACATGATAGGGTACTACATTTGAACCTAATTACAATTGCCATAATAGATTTTACTAAGCACTTTGTATGATAGCAAGGGTCTTTCTATCCCTACACTATGGTCACAGGGAATTCGCCAAGACTTCATCCATGTAAGGACAGTGTCAAGTGTGAATGGACTTCAGGCTCCACTGTCATCCAAAGCCTTCTCCAAAATGGGTGTTTCACAATTTAAACTCTGATATCATTCGCTCCTTTAGATTTGGGTTTGATTTACAATCCTTGGATCACATAGGCTGGTGTGCTTCTTCCATGTGGAATTAGGTGATGGCTATTTGTTTAAAGACAAACCTTTAAGACCCAGAGACTCTTCTTTCTGATGGCTGGGCACCATCTGATTTCTTCAGGACACTGAGTTATAGCACCCATATCTTCAATGATCTCTTCAAGAGGGGGAATATCAAGTAGGGCCATGTAATTCAGAACGACTTGTTTTTAGATTGGGACTAGTATTAAGTGTGAGCAAGAGTGACTGATTATAATATCAATTGATTCCCCAACTTTAAATGCTCTGACGTTCAACTGAGATTAAGAAATCAAACTTACTGTTATGGATTTGATGCCGACTCATAGTGACCCTAATAGGGCGGAGAACTGCCTCTGTGGGTTTCTGAGATTTTAACTCTTTACAGGAATAACAAGCCCCATCTGGTTCCTTCTGAGTGGTTGGTAGTTTCCAATTACTGACTTTCATGGTTTTCAACACAACATATAACCACTATACCACCAGAGCTTGTTACCCTGATACTTGGGATGGGAATATATGAATAATCAGGAAAATCGAGACAGCAGACCCCTAAATTCCATTGAAGCATTCCAGCCAACAGCACCACTCCTCTATCTGCAGAGATTATCCCATCTCTGTCGGCTAATGGATTATCAGTAAAATCATTATCCTTTGCTTCTACATTTGATGGTCTGGCACCTTGGCTTTATTGAATGATCCCAGGAAAATCCTTCATTACCTATTTCTGCTTCCAGACCTGTAAGTAGACTTAAGTCTCAGCGAGTCACAAAAGGTGTTGTTGAAGACCCAGGAAGTGATGTACTATACTTACTCCACACCTACATTGGTATAATGTAGAAGGTATCCAAAGGCTTAGAGAAGTTGGCATGTTAGATTTATAAAGACATATAGACCCACACATGGGAGTGCCCCAAGGACACATCATTTAGCACAATTGTGAGGAAAAAATTGATGAAGGGGAGCCCCAGTATCTCTGAAAAGTACTGTGATTATACTGAGCAAAGTGCCCTCATGGCATGAAGACACCAAACTAAATGGAGCTAATTGGGCTCCCTTGTGTTAGAAGCCAAGTGCCAGTACAGAGTGCGTATGGTTATCACAAAGGACAGCAGAGACCATATAAATCTGGATTACTTGACTCACATAGACTTAACGGCATTGGCTAATTTAGGCAGAGTGCTCCTTAGAGTGAAATCATTGAGACATCTACTAAATACTTTCTTGATTTGTATTAGTGCAAGAATTCTAGGTCATGGGAATGGCAGTCTACATCCAATTGCCAGAATAAAGAGGCACAACCCTTCAATCAATCCCAGACTTGAGGCAGTTTATAGACCCACAACCCACTGAATGAAAGGAAGGCCAGTCACTTTGAAGAAGGACCCAACTATTGCCAAAAGCTTCGTTCGTCTTTCTCCTAGCCTTCCCCAAGGGGACCTGTGGTCTTTTGTAAGACTGACTGTTCCTTAGGGAAAGGGAAATAATCACACTTTGGGGGAATTCCTGGGCACTGACTCTTAAATGACACTAATTCCAGGAGACCCAAAACATCACTGTGGCCCACCAGTCAGAGTGAGAATGGAGGGGACGTTTAATGGAGTCTCAGCACAGGTGTACCTCACAATGGGTCCGATGGGTCCCCAAGCCCATCCTATAGTGATTCCTAAGTTCCAGAACACAGAATTGGAAGACATTCTCAGCAACTGGCAGTGCCCCCATATTCAATCTCTGAAATGTGGAATGACAACTAAGAATGAACTTAATTGGCAAATCCAATTGTAAATCCTACTACAGATGTGGTTTTACTGCCTGAGAAAATTAATACTTACTCCCGGTACCCAGTATGCAGCTATTGATGTGGTCGGCTAATGGTTTTTTTATCCATTCTGGTTTTGAAGCAATAAGCCTGAGCTGGCAAGGCCAACAATAATAAATACACTTTTACGCTCCTAACTCACAGGTCTATCAACAGCCAGCGCTATGAAGGGGTACCCCTCCAAAAAACAATCTTTTCCCCAAAAGCTATGTATTTACATTTTTTTACAAAACCACCTTATCACCTTCAAAGTTCTCTCTATCACACTTAATACATTTGTCAAATCTGGGATTCCATTCTTGGAAACATTTTTCAAACTCATCTGTTTGGTTGGCTGACAGCAACTCCCTGATTTTCTTCACCTCTTCTGTCATCAAATCACTGTCCTTTCATGCCCAGCTTCATTCACAGAAACAAAAAAAGTGGCACAGTTAGGTCAGGTGAGTAAGGTGCCTGGGGCAAGAGAGGCATGCTGGGTTGTTCTGTGGTTTGTTTTTTTTGGCCCAAAACTGGCACACTGAGATAGTTGCCTGGATGGTGCACTGTCATGGTGGTAAAACCAGTTCGTCTGCCATAAATCAGAGCTTTTTTGTCACACAGTTGTGCAATCTTTCCAGAACCTCGAAATAAAATGCTCAATTAACAGTTTGACCTGGTGGAACAAACACCAAATGTACTGAGTTGACATGTTTGTCCACTGGGGAAGTTGACAGACGTCCAGAATGAGGTTTGTCATCAGTTGACGTTTTACCTTTTTTGAAACAAGAAAACCACTCATACACTTGAGTTTTTTTCAGTAACAATCTCCTTGTAAGCCGTGTTCAACGTCACAACAGGTTCTGTGGCATTTTTCAGAACAGGAAACAAAATTTCACAGCCGCATGCTTTTCTTTTAAATCAGCCATCACAAAAATCGAGATTTGATTGAAACTGCTTTTATGAATAAAATGCACTGTGACCAGAGAACCTTCCCTGGTGATGCCGCCAGGTACACTAACTCAAAGTGAGTTGCTTGATGCTTGCCAAGCGGGAAAAATGCATATAACGAAAGGTCCACCCAGCGGAGCTTTTCTCTGAATTTTTTTCGGGTACCCTCTCATGTCATAGTTTAGT